TGACATTCAAGATAGGCTTCTAATGATTGGCAGAGGAACTGGGACAATTTGGACCCCATTTATCCGTGCAGCGCTGTACTACCATACTGCTCTCCAGAAACTCCCCACCAGCAGGGGTCCAGGGTGGGGGAAGCAGAAGGGCCAATAATATATCACTTTTGGGGCTGATAAATCCCATAGCTGGCCCTGCTCTCAGAAGGGGAATCCCAGAACCATCCTTGTAGGGGGAAGGAGAAGGAAAGAGGTTAGAGGGACCCAACCTTCATCCCCAGGCATTTTCTGAGAGGGAGGGTGGGAAAACACTGGAAGAAGCAACACTTGTCGTCTGTCAGTCATACTTGGAGAGTATCATGAACCAGAAAGGAGGGGAGGTGAGAAGATAAGACCGTGGGATAGACTGAAACCCACCTCCCAAGTATGACCCAACTGTGGCTTCCAACCATGATCTAGCCAGATCAGAAATGCAAGGTCACCACTGGAGCAGGCCAGAGCTGTGTTTGTGAACTACAAATCCCAGTATCCTCCAGCCTGGTGGTTCCCAGCACTGCTCCTTCCCATCTGCCTTGCATGGACGTCCCTTCTCCTTTCATGAGGTCCTTCTTTGCTCCCTCATTTTTGGTCATGATCCGTGGCAAGGATGGTGATCCGTGCTGTGAAAAGTGGTGGTTTTGGCCATATCAGTGCCTGGAGCAGTGGTTGCAGGCCTTGGGGTCTCCAGATGTGCTTGGACTACAATGCCCACAAGCCTTCCCCACTTGCTGTGCAGGCCAAGATTTCTGGGAATTGTAGTCCAAGAACATCTGGGGACCCAAGGTTGGGAACCACTAGTACATGTCAATCCAATCCCTTCCTGCCTCCTCACCCCCAGTAAGGTTTTAGATTATGAGAATTTTGCCTTCATAAATTGCATGTGTTTTTAAAAAAAATGTCATTACCAAGACAATTGAAAGAGAAAAGGAGGGGAAGTAATTGTTCCAAAGAAATCTGGATCAAAAAAAAAACCCCACAAACACACACAAAAAAACCATGACCCTCTCCGCCCCCAGAACTGGCTGGTCCACTTGTGACACAGCGTGTGCAGCCGTCCTTGTTCAAGCCGTGCCGATTTCTGAATTAGCCCGGCTGGGGCTTTCCTGCTAACCATTCCTGGCATGGCAAATGAGGACAGCCGCGCACACTGCACCACAAACGGTAAGTGGACCGGCCAGTTCTGTCGGGGGGGGGGAACAGAGGACAAAAGGGCTCAGCCATCTGTGGTGGCGATAGTCATATCTGTCTCCTCACCCTGGGAAATGAATACAAATATGCCATCTCTACTCACAGCGTTTCACCCAAGAAAGCCATCTTAACTTCAGCGAAAACCAAAAGCCTTAACAGTTTTCTCTACAAGGAGAGGAGGAAGAGGAAACAAAATCACTGTCTGAATGCAAGATGGCAGAGGAGAAAAGATAGGGGCACGTGCGCAAGAGGTCCAGACTACAAATGATACATCCAGGATAGCAAACACCACAACAACAAAAAAGAGCATGCCATATGAGGCATGAACTTCTGCTCTTTGGTGTAATATTGGGAGTTTCTCTGCCCTGGCAGAGTGGGTGGCCACTGGCAGGAAAATTCAATCATTTCACCCCCTTCCGTAGCCTATGGAGAAGTTCTAAAATGCTTAGCAGCAGCTAGGTGCTAAAATCACTGCTGAGCCAGAAAAGATCCACCCTGGAGCTGCTGGAAAGGATAGTGGGAAGGCAAGTTTAGTGCCGGCGAGGATGGAGTGCCTTGCTGACCATTCTCAAGAGAGGGCCCTCTGGTTCTCAAGCGTGAACCCAACGTCACTCTGAACCAGCTGAGATGGGACAGCTGTAGATGGGTCACAACTCATTGCTGCAGCCTGACGAGAAATCAAAGCGGGTACAGGCAGAACTGCTCATCTGTTAGATGTTTCTGAGAAAGTCCCACAGGGATCGGCTGAGGGGTGTCCTCTGAGTGAGGGTGAAAAAAGTGTAAGTATGCTTTAGCACAAGCACCAAGCGAGAGTATATGCTTTCAGCTCCCGCATGCAAATATGCCAGCGAGCGCTGTGCTCTATGTGAGCTCAGAAATCTATGGCTTAGATCTTCTGAGAATAGGCTATTTTCCCCCTAATTTTGTATGTATGGGCCTAATGTACCCATTCCTTACCTATATTTATTGTGATCTGGACTTTTCCCATTTATAGTACAGTAATTACTAATCTAAATGGGTGTTCCTTTTCAGCAATTCAGCTTCTTTCCCCCTAATCTTGAATAAAAAAGAAAGCTTCCCTTCCCAAAAAAACCCCCCCCCCCCCCCAAAAGTGAAGTGAGGAACAGTGTGGTCCTAAGTCCAGTCTTTGCCACTTATTAATTTCTTTGATTTTTATACCACCCATCTGGCTATGAAGGAACCGCTTGGAACCATGACTACGGGTTAAACTGAGTTCTAGTCTTTCATGCTGGGCTGTTGTTATGTCTGGAAGGTGGGACGTGCTTGACTTACTGGTCCCAAGAAAGGGGAAGCAACTCTGGGTAGCCTTGGGCTTCTAATACTTAGCTGGGGAAGCTGCAGGGTTAGGGGGAAACCAGTGTGAGGTGGATGCTGACCCTGTGGGATCATAGGGTGGCAGCCCATTCTGAATCCACCCCAAACCTGATAGTCATGTATATCCCCCATTCCCCCCCCATGAGGAGACACATATGTCTCTTTCTCTTCAAAATCCTCTAACTCACTGGACTGCAACTCCCAGAAGCCTTCACCACCAGCTGTCCTGACTGGGGTTTCTGGGAGCTGCAGTTCAAAAGCATCCGAGTAACAAAGGTTAAGAACCACTGCTCTAACTAACAGGTGCATCTTTCAATACAAACTGCACCTGTTGAACCTTTCTCCTGCACATCACCATTAAAGGTACAGAAATCCTGTCTTTTCCCCATCTGGTCATCTGACATAGAAGCCAAAATTAAACTATAGCAAGATAAAAGAGTGCTTTAGTTTTATCTTGCTATAGTTTTATTTTGATTTCACACATTTGGTTGTTTTTACTTTTGGCGGGTGATTTTATCTTGACAAACCTTTCTGTTTAGCTAGCATTTTAATTAAACAGTATTCTCTAGCTGGCCACATGAGCAGATGTATACTTGTATAGCAGATCTTCCTCTGATATTAATATTTTAAGAATTGTTTTAATATAGGATATTTTATATTGTCTTTTTAAATGTTTTTAAGTTTTAATAAACACATAACAAGTAAAGTAGCCACTGGTAATGGTGCAGCTAAAAATACAATAAATAAATAAATAAAATAAATAATGAAAACTTCTTAATCTGCATGAGCACAAGAATTTCCCACATGGCACTGCTTCCCCTCTATTCGGCACTGGCTAGGCCTCATCTTGAGTACTGTATCCAGTTCTGGACCCCACACTTCAAGAAGGATGCTGACAAATTGGAACAAGTTCAGAGGAGGGCGAGAAGGATGATCAGGGGCCTGGAAACCAAGCCCTATGAGGAAAGACTGAAATAATTGGGCATGTTTAGCTTTGAGGAAAAAAAAGACTGAGGGGAGATATGATAGTACTTTTCATATACGTGAAAGGTAGCCATACAGAGGGGCAGGATCTGTTCTCAAATATCCCCATGCAACAATGGACATGCAACAATGGACTCAAGTTACAAAAAGCCAGATTTTAGCTGAATATCACAAAAAACTTCCTAATTGTTAGAGCAGGACGACGGTGGAACCAGTGACCTTAAGAGGTGGTGAGCGCTCCAAGCCTGGATGCATTCAAGAGAAATTTAGACAACAACCTGGCAGATCTGCTTTGATTTGGATTCCTGCATTGAGCAGAGGATTGAACTTGATGGCCTTACAAGTGTTTCCCAACTTCATTATTCTATGATTTTATGAGGGCTGGAAGAATAATTTATTTCATGCCCTTTTTGTGGTCTGCTAGAGCAGCCATTCTTAATGAGGGCTATATCACCTGTGGAGGGGGGCTGGCACATTTGAAGGAGACGACTTGAAACAGTTCTTCACACACCGCCTTATACAGTTTGTAATGTAATTTGTGGTCTGCTAGAGCAGCCATTCTTAATGTGGGCTATACCACCCACGGGGGAGGGGGGGCTGGCAGATTTGAAGATGACAGACTTGAAACAATTCTTCACCCACCGCCTTGTACAGTTTGTTCAGTATACAACCATGGATTCAGCCTATATTTCTTTCATATTGTGATTATGGCTGTAGCCAAGAAAAAGTTGAGGCTGCACTACAGAGCATGCTGGAGGAGCCTCTTGAGAGTCCCCTGGACTGCAAGGCGATCAAACCTATCCATTCTGAAGGAAATCAACCCTGAGTGCTCACTGGAAGGACAGATCCTGAAGCTGAGGCTCCAATTCTTTGGCCATCTCATGAGAAGAGAAGACTCCCTGGAAAAGACGCTGATGTTAAGAAAGTGTGAAGGCAAGAGGAGAAGGGGACAACAGAGGATGAGATGGTTGGACAGTGTCATCGAAGTAACCAACATGAATTTGACCCAACTCCAGGAGGCAGTGGAAGACAGGAGGGCCTGGGGTGCTCTGGTCCAAGGGGTCACGAAAAGTTGGACACAACATAACGACTAAACAACAACAACAAGGGAGCATCTCTGGGACACAGACCAGATGCTTAGATGAGAAAACCTGAGCAAAGGAGTTATGGAACAGCTTCATAGTAGAACTGCTGATGGGATGCAAATATCAATGGGACTTACCTTCAATAAAGACTGATACCATCTGACTGCCCATATCCTCTACAGATAGGGAGACATAGCACATGACCTGCAGGATCCATATTGCTTAGCCCTCTTCCACTCTGAATGCAAGCCCAAGAACACCCTCCACACACACTGTGAAATTTGTTGCTGCATTGCTGGTAGTTTAAACATAGCAGTATTTAAACAAGTGAGCACTCCCTATGCACTTTGTTTACATACGTATATAGATTTATGCTCTTCAAGGTGTCATTCTGTTTGTAAACAAGGTGTAGACTGAATACATTCATGTTTTTAAAAAACAGAAAGCAGGTTCCTTTTCAGAGCCACCATGATAGCAAATTTGACAAGGTAGAAGCAGCTGGGGTACAATGACTCTTGGATTGAGAAGGACACAACATGACCCCGCGCACCCCGAGTACCCAAAGTAATCGCAACTCTGTTCCCAAATAAACTTTCGAACACTATCAAAACTGAGTTATTGTAGTTTTTCTCCTGTGTGAATTCTTTGATGTCTGACAAGGGTTGAGTTCTGAGCAAAACATTTCCCACATTCTTTGCACTGGAATGGTTTTTCTCCTGTGTGAATTCTCTGGTGGCTCACAAGGTTTGAACGATAAACGAAACCCTTCCCACACTCCTGGCATTTATGTGGTTTTTCTCCTGTGTGAACTTTCTGGTGGCTCACAAGGTTTGAACGGTAGGTAAAACACTTCCCACACTCCTGGCATTTATGTGATTTCTCTCCTGTATGGACTCTCTGGTGCATTAAAAGCCGTGAACTGCAAGCAAAACATTTCCCACACTCCAGGCATTTGTATGGTTTCTCTCCTGAGTGGACTCCCTGGTGGATGACAAGCTCTTTATTGGAAGCAAAACATTTATCACACCCATGGCATTTGTATGGTTTCTCTCCTGTATGGATTCTCTGATGTTTTACAAGCTGCGAAGTGGAAAAAAAACATCTATCACACTCTTGGCACATGTATGGTTTCTCTCCTGTGTGGATTCTCTGATGTTTTACAAGTTGTGGACTGGATCCAAAACAATTTCCACATTCGAGGCACTTATATGGTTTCCCTTCCATATGGACAGTCTGATGGGTCACAAGGTCTGACTTGTAAGCATAACAGTGACCACACTCCCGGCATTTATACAGTTTTTCTCCTCTGTGGGTTCTCTGATGCATCACAAGGTCTGACCTGTAAGCAAAACATTTCTCACACTCCTGACATTTGTGCGGTTTCTCTCCCGTGTGAACTCTCTGATGCACCACGAGATCTGACTTGTAGGCAAAACATTTCCCACACTCCTGGCATTTGTACGGCTTCTCCCCTGTGTGAACCCTCTGATGGGTCACAAGGGTTGAATTCTTTGAAAAACATTTTCCACACTCCTGGCATTTGTATGGTTTCTCTCCAGTGTGAACTCTTTGATGTGTCACAAGCCACGAATTACAAGCAAAACACTTCCCACATTCCTTGCATTTGTATGGTTTTTCTCTTCTGTGGACTCTCTGATGCATCACAACTTCTTTATTAGAAGCAAAGCACTTCCCACATTGTTGGCATTTATATGGTTTCTCTCCTGCATGAATTCTCTGATGTGTGACAAGCACCGAACTGGCAGCAAAACACTTCCCACACTCCTGGCATACGTATGGCTTTTCTCCTGTGTGCTCCCTCATATGCTTCACAAGGACAGACCTATAAGCAAAACACTTCCCACACTCTTGGCATTCATATGGTTTCTCTCTTGTGTGGACTCTCTGATGACACCAAAAGGTCGAATTCTGAGCAAAACATTTCCCACACTCTAGGCATTTGTATAGTTTTTCTCCTGTGTGGACTGTTTGATGCGCCACAAGGCATGAACTGCGATTAAAACATTTCCCACACTCCCGACACTTGTGTGGTTTTTCTCCTGTGTGAACTCTCTGGTGGGTCACAAGATCTGACTTGTAACCGAAACACTTTTCACACACCAGGCACCTGTATGGTTTTTCTCCTGTGTGAACTCTCTGATGTGTCACAAGGTTTGAAGTCTGAGAAAAACACTTCCCACATTCCTGGCACTGGTGAGGTTTTTCTCCCGTGTGGACTCTCTGGTGGATCACAAACCGTGAATTACAAGAAAAACATTTCCCACACTCCTGGCATTTGTAAGAGCTTTCTCTAGTGTGCAGTCTCTGGTGTCCTGCAATGCCTGAATTGCGAGCACAGAATTTCCCAGACACTTCTGGGCGAAACAGTTTCTTTCCATTGTGAACTTTCTGGTGAAGCGCAAGTGCCCTATTTGGGGCAAAATTTTCCCCACACAAAATGTAGAGTTTCTCTCTGATGTGCCATTCATCTTCTGCATGGGTCCTTTGGTGTCTGGCAAGATCTAGTTTGTACCTAAAATGCTTCCCGCAGTTGCATATGTTCATGTTCTTATGCTCATCTGCTGAGAAAAAGGATAAACATAGACAAGTCTGAATCCTAATTTTCAACAAGGAGAAACGGGATCAGAACTATTAACTATATCATGAAAGGAAAGGGCATTTTGAGGAAAAATAGATATATTGATGAGACTCCTGTGGGCATTTATGCAAATACAACAGTAACTGCATAAGTTGCCACAAGTAACTAACAAGGTGCCCAACACAAAAAAATATGATCAGGGATTTACTTGTCATGTGACCAGCACCTCATCAATTAGCCACTGAAACTTCTACAGTTCCTCTTATTTGTAAACATGAGCCAAAATCCTGTTGCTTAGCATAGTAAAATATCCAATAGGATCTCAACATTATGTACCCTTTGTCCATAAGCACTTAGCATCCATTTTGTCTTTTAGGCTCTAGATGGAGAGGAGATTTCTTCTACCAAGCATTCTAACTATGGCTAGTACTTTCAAATCATAGCACTTTTCTTACATGATTGCTGGTTTTATTTTCATTTGACATTTCTCTATCTGCTACTTGGCTTTCTTGACCAGAATCCTGTTGCTTAGTTATACCCGCAGAAGCCAAACTGCAGCTTTTCACTGGCCATGAAACAACAGCCACTTGGATTTGGTGTGTGTGCATGCTGGCCCGTTGCCTTGGTCTACTCCCGAGAATCCAAGTGGGGACTCATTAATAGCCAGGAAGAAGCCGCTGGAAGTTATGTCGTTTGTGCTTTACAGGCATTAACTAAGCAACAGGATTTGAGTCATTGTGTGTTTGTAGTCTGTTATCATTTCTTCTTCACATTTTGTAATTTTAATGCATTTTATACCCCACACAAAAACCCTGGTTGCCCTGGAGGGAAGGTAAAAAAACCTACAGTAAAATAAATAAAAATCAATCATAGCTAAATGAAGCTATGTGAATATAGTGGTGCCTAGCTAGACAGTTACCTCGCATGACAGTTTTTTCGCTAGACATTGACTTTTTGCGATCGCTATAGCGATTCGCAAAACAGTGATTCCTATGGAGGAATTTCGCTGGACAATGTTTGGTCCCTGCTTTGCAAACCAATTTTCGCTAGATGACTATTTGCTTTTCGCTAGACAATGATTTCACTAGACAGCGATTTCAGTGGAACAGATTATCATCATCTAGCGAGGCACCACTGTACTAGAACAAACCATGTGAATACAGTACTAGAACACACCAGAGGAACAGAGAATTTAATGGGAGGGTTTTATTGCTAAAATGGTAATGGGGGGAAGAGATAAAACTTTTTCAGCATACATTGTTTACAGCCACACTCCTAGAAATGTGAGTCTATTTGTAAACATGGGCTAAAATCTTGTTTATCAGAGGAAATAGCACTACAGTAATCACCATCATCATCACATGCCATCAATTCTGACATACGGCAACCCTTTTGAGGGTCTTCCAAGTAGAGAGTATTTAGAAGTGGTTTCCCGTTCCCTTGTTCTGGGGGCATCCTGGGATGGTGCATCTTGCCCAAAGTCACACAGCTTGGCTCTTCTCCCAGGAGGCCCAGTGGGGGAATCAAACTCTCAACCTCTAGCTCCGCAGCCGGATATCAAAACCACTGAGCTCTCCAGTCGGCTCCTCATTAGAATAGCCCCCCTGAATCAATGGGGATTTGGTGAGTCAATTCTAACAAAAGTTCCACTGATTCAAATGGGGCTCTTTTCACCATGACTTGCTTCAGCATCACAAGTTACAATCAAAGGAGGCCCATTTGAATCAATGGAACTTGTGGCAGAACTGTACCCATCAAATCCCTATTGATTCAGCAGGGGTTGCTCTAGTGTGGATGACTACGCTCAGCAACAGGATTTGGGCCAACAAGTGCAAGGGTTTTTGTCACCACCATAGCAGGAAATTTGGCAATGTTGCTCCGCAAGAGTTAAAGCCACCCATGGGTTCAGAAAGTCCCAGCACAGCCCCTGACCATCCGAGGTCCAATCCCTGTTTGAAAATGATCTTCCAAATATTATGGCGGCAGAGTTATTGCCAACGTTTTTTTTTCTAAGAAGGGTTTTGTGTTTTGTCTCCAGCTGACTTACCCAGTGAGTCACCTGATCTGGTATCCAAGATGACCATTCCACCCAGATCCTGAGATTCTGGCAGCCACCGCGCATTCCCCTGCACGGTTCCAGAAATGAGCTCAGGCATTAAGACTGGAAAGTTAGTTGGGGGAAGAAAAGAACAGGGAGGATCAGTAATCCACTCAACTGCCCATCATCATCATCAACATCATCATCATCATCATCATCATCATCATCATCATCATCATCATGGTTGTTGTTGTTGTTGTTGTTTGCACTTTTGAAAGATACTATGGCCATCACATTTATTAAACTGAGGAGATTTTATCGGTTATAGAATATTATTCCTGAACTAATACTGCTTTTAGATCTGTCTGTAGTCTTAAATTATGTTTAAAACAGAAGTTACCTGGAAATTGCATTCTGAGTATCCACCACCATTAGCTTAGCTTCAGATCAGGGTTTGATACCAACCTGTTCCATTATAGAATCCTCAGCAGGATATTTCATTTCAAAGAAGTCTTTCTTCTCTAAAATTAAAGGCAATCTGTGCAGCTGGTATGTGCGAAAATGGATGGAATAAGAATTGTTTCTTACCTTCCTGAGAAAGTGTCCATATATTCTCTATCTGTCACTATCAAAACGTCCTGCCTCTTTGTACCATCCTGCTTGATGAATAACTTTTTGAAATTTCTATTTGTTTGAAAATCCTCAGGAGAAGTACGTAAACCTAAGGCCTTCAGAATACATTGTGCATTTCCTGCCTGTGTGTTCTCTTGGTGCAAAGGCTTTTCCCAGACCTCCATTTTGTATTCTATGTTCTCTGCTGGAAAAATCTCCAGAAGGGAAAATCTCATTGCCAGCCTTGTAGTTTTATTAGTTACATTCAACAGTGTTAAGAAAGGGGAGGCCTTTCTCTCAGTCCCACCATCCTCATAGGTGAGCTTGGTGGGGACCCAGGACAGGGCCTTCTCTGTGGCTGCTCCCAGACTCTGGAACTCCCTCCCACTGGAGGTCAGCCTGGCCCCATCTCTGCTGTCATTCTCTAAGCAGGCAAAGGCTTTTCTTTACAGACAAGCTTTCCATTAGCAACTAACTGCCTAGGAGAGATTTCAAAAATGGTATCGTTTGTAGCTTGTTTTAGTAATGCTTTTGCCTAACATTTTTAATATGTTAATCATTCTTTAAAAATATTTGAATAATTTACTGTCTTTTGCTTTTAATATTGTGTTTTTAATGATATAAGCCCCCTTAGGTCCTTTTTTAAGGAGGGAGACAAGCAAACAAACAAAACAGTTTGCAAACATATCCAAGTAAGTTACTGGACCACAAAATTGGTTGTGAACTTCCAACAGATAGAGGGTTGTGTGGTTCACTTGGGCCTCAAGACCCGTCTTTTGTCAACCAACTGCAAATTCAATATGAGAAACATAATGGATTCAGAGAGAAGCCATTTTCTTACCAAGAGAGAAGACGTTCTCACAGTTTTCCATCATGACCTCCTTGTACAATAATCTCTGGCTCCAATCCAGCAGGTTCCACTCCTTCTTCGTGAAACACACAGCCACATCCTCAAAGGTCACCAGTTCCTGCAAGCAGAAAACAGCCCGTACTTCAGATCTCTTCAAGTACAGAGAAACAAGTAGGGAGCACAGCTGAGCCACTCTGGAATTCAGACAGGGGGCTTTGAACGTTTCCCCAACCCATACCATTAGCCTTTCACATATAAAAGAAGATTACTTCAAGGCTGTAATCCCACTTTCTCACTATATAAGGCAGTGGTAGACAGGCTCATGGGGGTCATACTTGTTCCTCCCCTTCCACACGTTTTAGGGATCCGACCCTAACCTAAAAGCAGAGTTGATCTAAGACCTTTGTCTGTTTTTGAACTGGGGCAATAAACCCACGCATCTAAGTTGGAGTGCCCCAAACCCAAATCGAGCCAACCTTTTTTTGGGTATACAAGGGATCCCTGTCAACAAAAATGCAGTGACAGATTGAAGTATTTGCTGCTGGATCCAGTTGCTTCACCGTGTCTAATGGCAGAACCGGCCTTGTTTAAGCATACAGAAAATAAGCCATTACTGACAGGAAGTTGACAGAAAGCAGAGTCCCATCCCTGACCCCTCACTCTTTCGGTGAAAGGGAAGGGAAAGATTAGGGAGCATTTATAAACTTAGCCACAGACTGCAGGTGTGCGTGGAAGCACCAATGTTTGGAGTTTCTGGCAAGGAACGTGAACTAGATCTGACTGTTACACTTTGGGGGACTGCTTTGTAAGCACACTGGACCACTGAGCACCAGGAGAAGATCTGGATGGTGCTGTTTTGCACATGCAGAACTTCTTTTTATTGCTCTTTGGTTGTGTTCCTCCCTTCCCCAAGACAAACCCATCAGTAGCTCTAGAAAATCTCTTACCGGATCTGCTCCTGCTCTTTTTATTCCTTCTCTCCTGTTCCTTCTGGATTGAGGAGGAGACCCCACGGTGAACTCTGTAAAAAGGAGAGGAGAAACAGAAAGAAGGGGAGATATTTCAGAAAGATCTCTCTTCTCTCTCCAGAGGCTGGGTGAGCCAGAAGGAAAGGCTTATATCTGAGAGAGAAAACCCCGGGGGGGAAAAAAATCTGAATTTCTTATACATTTCTCTTGATGATGTTTGAGAGACAAACCTGGCTAAAATATAGTAGCTATCCTGAATAAATCTAAACATCCATTTAGTCCAGCGTCAGAGTGCTGTCCTCGGAAGATGCTGGCTACAGAGACTGGCGAAACGTTAGGAAGAACAACCTTCAGAACACGCCAAAGAGCCCAGAAAACCCACTGCAACCATTAGCCCTTTGTATTTGGCTCTGCAGTGCTGACTAATCTAGCCTCTACTTTCGGTCAGCTTCAGTGAGTCATAGTGAGTTCTATACTATATGCCTTAGGTAAAGGTAAAGGTTCCCCTTGACAATTTTTGTCCAGTCGTGTTCGACTCTAGGGGGTGGTGCTCATCCCTGTTTCCAAGCCATAGAGCCAGCGTTTTGTCTGAAGACAATCTTCTGTGGTCACATGGCCAGTGCGACTTAGACACGGAACGCTGTTACCTTCCCACCGAGGTGGTCCCTATTTATCTACTCGCATTTGCATGCTTTCGAACTGCTAGGTTGGCGGGAGCTGGGACAAGTGACGGGCGCTCACTCCGTCGCGTGGATTCAATCTTATGACTGCTGGTCTTCTGATCCTGCAGCACTTCACCAATACAGTGAATATATCATTTCAGTAATACCAGACAATATGCAGAGATCAGCAAGATTGTAAATTGGGTCATTAAATATACTTTGTCTGCGAAGAATGTTGATACAAATCTAGTAATACTGTAGAGTAATAATACTAACACAGATACGCATTATATGCGTATCCTACACATTTATGCATATACTTAATAGTAATAACTGTGTGCCTTCCAATTAATTCTGACATACAATAAATCTTTTTGGGGTTTTCTAGATAGAGAATACATAGAAGTTATTTCCCATTCCTTTCCTCTAGGGGGAGCCCTGGGTCTGTGCAGTTTGTCCAAGGCCACCCAGGCTGGCTCTTCTCTCTGCAGGCACAGTAGAGAATCGAATCTCCAACTTCTGTCTCTGCAGCCAGTCCGGCTCAGGCCACGGACTGTTACTGGGCCACGGACCAGGGGTTGGGGACCTTTGCCTTAATAGTCCCAACTCACAACAAGGAAGGATATAAATACAGCAGCCTCACCAGTTGTGCTTGCTTACATCTACACTAAGGCCAGAGTGAAATGCAGGGAAGAAAATACAGACTGATCATTATGCAACAACTTAAATATATGCAAAATAATAGAAGTGATCATTCACAAGGCATAGCTGACATAACCCTACCTGCATTGTAACACCATTAAGAAGAAAGGGTTAATGGCAGAGAAGCCATACTGTTGTACAAATGCTGGAATATCTGCCATCCAGAGGTTTGTGGAGAAATCTTTGGATGCACTGTAACAAACCACTAGCAGGTGCATGTTTATGGCGCAAAAGTTTACAGAGAAAGCCCCCCCCCAGTTGTCTATATGAGACCTCAGCTAGTACCTGGGAAGGTATTTTCTTCCCACTGAAGCACATCCGGTGGCTCCTTTTCTTTTTCCAATTTCATTGCCATGCCAGGAAGTCCTGATCAGGAGCAAGGGATAAGAAAATGGAAGATTAAACAGGTAGACTGATCTCCGGGACCAGACAAGAAAGGAAACTGATTTTTGTAGGTCACATATTTCCGTAGGAGGGGAGGTATGTGTAGCCCTCCAGATGTTGCTGGACTAAAAACTCCTTTCGCCTTCATCACTGGCAAGGCTAAAGGGAAACTGCAGGCCAATAACATCCGAATAGCCATCCACTCCTGCTCTAGAGTTTAATGCAAACACACAATTCTTATGCCTTAGTTTCCCCCCCTCCTTCACCTGTGTTTGGATGCAATGCAAGCTCCATTCATTCCAAGACATCTTGGTCTAGAAACCATGGGCGTTGCTCAAGCTGAGAGAGCAAACCTGGCTTCACGAGTGAAAACCCTGCTCAAGAACGCAAAGTGTAAGGGAGGAAGTGTCCTGGTGGGATTTGAAGGATGGAGCCGAGTACTAATCACACTGGGCAAAAGCAATTTGGTGGGAAAGAGCGCTAGCGAAATTGAACACACCAGTCCCGATGCTCCTGAAGTAAGGCAGAACTTACTATGAAATTCCCCAGCTATTTACAAATAGTTATTATGCTAATTCAATTCAACACTAGACTTTTTTGTATCTTTGTGGGCGACACCGACACACCTATTGCCTGGAAGCCAGGCTTCTGGACTTTACACGGGCATCTTGTTGGCTACAGGATGCCAAATATGGGAGACAGTTCCATCTGATCTTTTGTATCAGAAGGGATCAGACCATCCGTCCTGGAGGGTCATCTGTTGTTGTTGTTCCATGCTATCAAGTCACCTCTGACTTATGGTGACCCTATGAATGAGCACTCTCCAGAAAATCCTGACCTCAACAGCCCTGATCAGCTCTTATAGACTCAAGCCCATGGCTTCTTTTAGAGAGTCAACCCATCTCATATTTGGTCTTCCTCTTTTCCTGCTGCCTTCCACTTTTCTCAGCATTACTGTCTTTTCCAGAGATCCTTGTCTTCGTATGATGTGCCCAAGGTTTTTATCTTTTATTGTATTCAAATTATTGTAAGCTGCCCAGAGAACTTTGGGTAATGTGGGCAGCATATAAGTTAAATGAATAAATAAATATAAAATAAAATAAATATAAGATAAAATGAGGTAAGACAGGCTTCGCTTATACATTTTTGTTTCCAGAGGTAGTTTAGGATTGATTTGTTATTTAAATTCCCATTAATTCACAGCACTACTTTATTTTAACTCCTCTTTTATGCTGATACACGGTTTCAACTTCCCAATCCACAATGCCTCTTTTTAAAAAATCAAAATACTGTAGCTTCTGATCTTACATAAACAGAGGACTCTGAAAACTAGTGAAACAAACACGAGTTAAGGATGTTTATGGGAAAGACTTCCTATTTCCAAACCTTCTCTGACCTCCCCCCCCCAATGCCTTCTGAAGGCTCTCGTGAAAGAAATTAAACCAAAAATTTTCAGTTACCATAGTTTTAGTGAAAGGACATAAACAGGATCCTTACCTAAGCAAGCCACATGGTCATAATTTTCTTGCATGACTTCCCAGTACAAAGCTCTCTGATCATGATCCAGCAAAGCCCACTGACCCTCTGTGAAATATAGAGCCACGTCTGAAAAAGTCAGAGGATTCTGGGAGAGAGAAAAAAAAATATTTTTTCACATATATTATGTCTGGAATCCTTATACTAACCCTTTGTGGGTAAGGAAGCACTATGAACTGCAGTTGAAAGACACCATTTGAGGGGACAAGGAAACAGGGGCTTGAAGGAATAGGTTACAGCCCAGTGATAGCAAACATTTTGAATACAGAAGGTCCAGAGAAAAATCTCTTGGCTCTCTGATTAAAGGGAACTGGTGTAGCAGGTAATGTGGACGATGCCTTTCCCTCTGAAATCCTGACAAGCTGCTGCCAGTCAGAATAGTCAATACAGAGTATGATGGAGAAACTGTCTAGTCCAGGAGACGGACGCTTCTTGTTCCAGGGACTTTCTGCTTCTAATTCCTACCCTTAATTTCTGAACTACAGTCTTCCTAAAAAATTTTTTCTAAAAAAGGTGATTACTGCAATTCCTTCCTGCCCTAGAAAGAATGCCACCATTTCAGTCCTAGAAAAGGTATAGCTTTCTCATATGTTCATTGAAAGAAGACAATTTGAAATTCACTGCTTCCTTCAATTATCTGAAGAACTTTCTGGTCTCAACAAATGTTTGGTCCTCTTTTGCTATCTTTTACCTACAGTCTCCTCTGTTCCTTCTAAAAGAAAATATCTACATCAATAGTGCAAAAATAGCAGTCTTTAAGTCTGAGGGTGCTCCACTGCATGGGTCAGATTTTATCTGTAATAAAAGTTCTAACAGGACACATAAACTGCTGCCCTGGACTCTTGTTTTGGGCTATCTTCCTCTCAAAAGAAAGAACATAAGAACATCAGAAGAGCCCGGCTGGATCAGGACAAGGGCCCATCAAGTCCAGCTTCCTGGATCTCACAGTGGCTGCACCAGATGCCTCTGGGAGCGCACGCGACAACTAGATACCTGTCTCCTGATCCCCCTCCCTTGCATCTGGCATTTAGAGGTCCCTTCCTTCTAAGCCTGGAGATTATACATCCCCATCATGGCCTGTCACCTGCGATGGGCTTTTCCTCCAGGAATCTGTCCAATCCCCTTTTAGCTTCCGCCCAAGATCAGTTCTCCACTTGGGTCAAATGTGACAGCTGTCATAAAATGCCAGCCAATTTGTATCAGAGGTAGTGCTGCCACAGGTATTTTCCTTTTCCAATGAAGTGACTTTTAAACTATTTAATGGACAATTGGGGGGGGGGGAACTCTGCCTGACACCCGGGTGTGCTGCTGCCATTCAGAGTAAAGGAAAAAGATAGTAGGGCCTAATGGTAGGACCTGGTACGAGGCAACATCCTGTATTCCAGTAACTACTTATCTTTCTCTGAACAATTGGCTTGGAAATATCTGCACTTTTGTCCATCCCCTTGGTTCGTATTAAAAAGAAAGCAGCAATGCCATGGGGCTTTTGCATGAATGGGGCAGTATATTGCGATGGGCTTTTCAATAAATGGGTGCAGTCTATCTGAGATCCAAGGGCATTCCCCAAACTCATCAACATTGCCTCCAATAGAAACTCCAATAGGACCAAAAAAAGTGCCCTTAACATCTTTCTTTGTCTTTCTTACCCATTAAGAACCTTCCACGCAGGACTGGCCTACCAGGAGGTAGAAGAGGCAGCTTCCAAAAAAGTTGGCAAATTCTTATAACTGTATTTGTACATGTGTTATGAGCTATCAAGCTGCATCTAACTTATGGTAACCTTAAAACTGAGTTTTCACGATGTGTGTGATTTTAAAGGAATGTTCTTAACCTCTTGAGTTTCCACAGCTGACCTGGACTGTGAACCCAGGTCTCCTCAGTCCTAATCTGTCGCTTTATCCATTATACCCTCCTGGGCTAACTCACTCTGTTTGAATCACCAAGGGAAGAGAGAAGCATATGCCCCAATATATATATAATAAATTTTATATATATACTGCCCATCTAGAAGCCAAGGCCACTCCGTGATCATGGCTCTGGCCCTCAATTCCATTTGCTCTATCTATTTTCTAATCTACCTGAGGGAACGGGTGGCCTTTTTCCCCTTACCTGAGGCCATTCTGTTGCAGCCATTTCCACTTCCCGAAAAAACTGGTGATCCAGTAAGGATCTTGATTGTTCCAGTGTTGCTTTTGAGACAGGAAGGGGTGACAGGGGTGATGTTCGGCAGAGCCTTGGTCTAAAAGCAGAGGGAGGGGGGAGGAGAGAGAAAGAGAGAAGTAATCTGTTATCTGAAACAGGCAATGAGAAAACAGCATTGGAAAATGTGAAGGTTCATCATCTTTCTATGAGGCTAGAGGAGAAGGTGTCACTCAACAGTAGACAAAAACCAGCGTTTTTGTGGAAGGTTTCAGTTTTACTTATTTTAAGACAGTGCATTTGTTGTTTAAGAACCGCCTGGCAGTTTGAAGTGTTTATTGATTTATTTGATATCTATTCCGCTTGTCTCCCCTAGCAGGGACCCAAGACAGCAGATTTATCTTTTTATTTTTATTTTTTAACCTTGCTTTCCTTCCTCCTTGTAGAAGAGGGTCTCAAGGCGCCTTACGACGATGCCATGCGAGTTAAGCGGTGCAATTTCAAGGCTGGGCGCTTTTGTTTCTCTGCCTGCGGGATCACCGGCCCTTCAGCCTGCAGATAGATGGGCAAGGAAAAAAAAAGAGAGTTAAAAGCCATTTCAATGGGGAGGCATTTTTTTTTCACGGCTTTCCCCATCCTTTTTCACTACTTACCCACTTGTAAGTACAGTATATCACTCTTCCTGCTGGTGCATTTTCTATTCCACCTTGAACCTCCAGCAATAGCCGCCCACTCTCCCCTCCTACTCCCTTCCCGATTTCTAGGGATCCTGTTTCCATCCAGTCTCCTGCTTTTTTTTGAGAACTATCCATTACCCGGTTTCCTTCAAAAGTGCGTCTGCGCAGGCGCGCTCGTTGATTGCGCGCAAGGTTCTCATTGCTCATCATGTGACCGAAGCGGCGCCAGGCTCCTGGTAAGAGAATCACAGACCCAACCAATCTATTGGCTGAGCACATAGATGAGTGGCTGAGTCGAGAGTCTTGAAGAATGGATTGCTCGTCGATTGGGATATGAAAGAGTGCTGCTTAAAGCTGGAATCTGCTTTGCAGAATCTTCTGCAAAGATTCAGTAGCTTCAATTTCTTTATGTTTCTTCTCTTTCTTGGTTCCCAGAACAAAATAACCTGGCTTTGTTTTATTCCTCTCCTGGCATAGATAGTTGCTTCTCATTAGTGTTGCTAATACATAGTACAGTACCATTCTTTCAAGTGTGCTTTGTTTTTGTTATGAGCCGTCAAATCAGAACTGACTTATTGTGACCCTAACAAGGCGTTCAGAGTAAGTCAGCTCTTTGAGGACTGGTTTTAGCAGTTCTATTGTCCCAGTCACGTTCAGAACTGACTTATAGTGACCCTAACAAGGCATTCAGAGTAAGTCAGCTCTTTAAGGACTGGTTTTAGCAGTTCTACTGTCCCAGTCACATTCCGTGACCAAGTGGGATTCGAACCCTGGTTTCCAGAGACTTGGTCCCTCGCTCTAACCATTATACCCCACTGGGTCAAGGGTGCTTTACAACCGTGAAAAGAACTGGCCTTGGCCCTAATTAGTTTAGACCACTATTCAGTTCTTTTTTTAAAAACCCCTCTGGTTTATGACTATGGGATATTGTGCTTCTGTCAGCACAATTCAAAAAGCCAGGAAATGGCCTAATATTGCTGCACAACATTGCACCTGCATTGCCAGCAGGAAAAGGGATGCCAAGCTTTACATAGCAAAGGGCAGCCTGAATGCTGACCACACCAAGGGCAGCAGTCAAGATGCTCTACAGGGTACCCTCTTGTGCTCATTACCATTCACAAAGTGACAGCACACAAGAGAAAATTCCAGAAGCTGACTTTTTTTCATCATTTAATCACTTCTTACCCAAACACCAAACAACTGTCATTGCTGTTTTTCAACAAATGATAGCGGCTTAACTCTATGATTTATAGGGTACCTTCCAACTTTGCAGTTCTAAGATTCTAAGAGAGAGATACCATATGGCGGATGTTTATACATGTATAAAGGGTAAAGGTTCCCCTTGACATTTAGTCCAGTTGTGTCCAACTCTAGGGTGTGGTGCTCATCCCCATTTCCAAGGCATAGAGCCAGCGTTTGTCCGAAGACAGTTTCCTTGTTCACGTGGCCAGCGCGACTAGACACGGAACGCTGTTACCTTCCCACCGAGGTGGTCACTATTTATCTATTTGCATTTACATCTTTCGAACTGCTAGGTTGGCGGGAACTGGAACAAGCGTTGGGAGCTCACTTCGTTGCATGGATTCGATCTTACGACTGCTGGTCTTCTGACCTTGCAGCACAGAGGCTTCTGCGGTTTAACCTGCAGCGCCACCACGTCCCTTTATACACGTATACATGCCATCAAAATGCAGAAACTGGTTGGGTAGAAATTTGCAAAATGTGTGAATTAGCACTGGGGTGTTAGCCGCTGTTGATATTCAGATCCATTCAAGTACTACTACTGTAAAAGTGTGTAAGAATCTCTGGCATGGAATAACAATGGCAGAACCAAAGGTAATGCAGTTATACTAAGGTGACAGACTTTTTACAGTTATTAATTACTTTTAGGAGTATTGTTTGATATTCAGTTCTGTTTTAGTGATTTTTGTAAAGATGCTGGGAGAATTACTCCAGGCAATAGATAGAAGGAAGAAAAACATGAGTTAAGATACTCTGGTTACCTTTGAAGTTTTTAAAGAGGGATCTGTTAAGGAAGGAAACATATCTGGGAGATACACTAGGCACACTACAATTATTGTAGTGTTTTATATTTGGTAATGCCCTAAGAAGCCTTGACTTACACTGAATCCATTGAGGTGAGTGTCCACCATTTTATCTCAGCTGTCTCTCTTTGGATTCTTGTCTATTTATTCTTCTCTATTTATCTACTTGCATTTGCATGTTTTCGAACCGCTAGGTTGGCGGGAATACTGTACATACATGTGCTCAAACTGCAAACTGATCAAGGATTCCGAAGGACGGTAAAATGAATGGAAACAGTGGGTGTATGGATTTAGTGACCTCCTTCCTAGATGCCTACACTACTTTTGCAATTGTTCCTATTCTTTGGAAAAGAAGAAGAAAAAAAACACCTAACCCATCTAATATTGAGTTACCCTCAGGTTCAAAAAGATTCTCTCCTCACTTTCATTTGGGGCAATAGTCCTGTGAGGAAAATATTGTCAGTTCTGTTCCATAAAAAACATCTTTGTGGAAATATATTAGATGAAGAAGATGCATTGTCTATGAAAAACAGGACCTGCCTATGCATCAATGCTAATTACACACGGGTTCTGCCAACAGTCCTATTTTACGGGAGAGCTTCCCCATCCTCTGCAATGCCATTGTGCTGCTCTAGGTCAATGCAAGCCCATCCAGACGCAAATCAGCTCACGAGAATAGTTATACTCCGGGCATATTTATTTGTGCGAGGGTATTAAACAAGTTAGCTTCTTGAGGTCAGAGATTTTGCCTGAAATGGCACATTCCCCCAATAAATCACAAAGACTTCCTCATTCTTGGGGTCGGGGCTCTTGAGAGAAAGAAAGATGGCGTCTTTTTATGTTTTGGGGCAGAGGGGCACAAGGCCTTTCGAAGTTGGAGCAAAGGAAAAGAGAAAACTGAAACAAAGAATGAGAGCCACAGACATGGCACCCTTCCTGAAAATACAGAGGGAAGGTTTCTGACATTGAAGAATTCATTGGCAGAGGGAGGACAGGACTCTTGAAACGCAGCCTCCATTCTTGGTTCTGATGGTTTTTAGGGGAGAAGGGTGGCCAGAAGCCTCTCTTGGAAGATTTGCAAAAAGGGGAAAAAAAGAATCGCTTGATCAATTCAAGATGGATTTACCCCTCTAAAGTTGGCTTGGCTGCCTTAAGGGGAGATTGTGAGGGGTCCGATTCCCCACGTAGAAAAGAAGGGGGAAATGGTCTCCCCAGAGAAAGAGGCTCCAGAGAAGGTGTAGAGGTGGGCTCCTGTGTCAGCATCATGAAAGGCCACCTGCCCTTCTTCGTAGTTCAGGGACACCCGGATCCTCCTCAGCAACATGTTCAGGGACAGAAAAGATTGCTCAGGAAGGTCGGAGGCCTTGTGGCCACAATCCCATTTCCTCACAGCCCAGATCCCTTCCTCAGTTTTCAATTCAATATGGCCTTTCCTCCGTACAGACTTCCTGGCCACCCCTATAGCCCAGGCTCCCAAACTTTGCACAGTGACATCCCAGAAATGTCTGCCTGAGGTGAATCCCTCACGTCCCAACACGTAACGACACAGGTCAAATCTCTCCGGGTTGTTGGGCAAATCTTGACATCTGTATCCAAAGCTCACGCTTTTGCGATCCTCAGACAGGAGGAGGCGGGGATTTGCTGTGTCCGGATCCAGGGTGACCTTTGCTGTTTGGGGACAAAGAAAGACAAAGATCAGAAGAGAAAGTGAGAATGAGGTGGGGAGAACCACGGTGGTGTGACTTGTGTCATTAACACCCCACAGTGGTTTTGTAAAAGCAGCCGTTTAAAGCGAAAGCTCACGCTTTTGCGATCCTCAGACAGGAGGAGGCGGGGATTTGCTGTGTCCGGATCCAGGGTGACCTTTGCTGTTTGGGGACAAAGAAAGACAAAGATCAGAAGAGAAAGTGAGAATGAGGTGGGGAGAACCACGGTGGTGTGACTTGTGTCATTAACACACCACAGTGGTTTTGTAAAAGGAGCCGTTTAAAGCTTTTTCAACATCTATTAAGAATCCTGTATAATAAACAAGGAAAAAAGAAAACTATGACGGCTGATAGATGTAGCCTTTTAGCTGCCTTTACATGCTGCCAGAGTCAATGCATGGACAGAGTTGGTGTCTGGCTTTGTTTCCCCATCCCTCCTTTTGTGGCCACTTATGGGAGAGCAGTGCTCTATGTTTGTGGTATTTGTGTCTGTGTGTTGTCTGTAGGTGAGTCCAGGCCTCCTCAACATCTCAACCATCAATTTACACAAAGCTGGTATTGGAAATGACAACACAAAAGCTTCAGGATCAAGACGCTTGAACTTTCCATGATGCTCTGGCGCTGCTGAGGGACTTATAAGCATGTGGGAGGGACCACTGGGGTACATTTCAACCCCCACTCCACTCAGAGAGGGTAGAGCGGAGGCTGAGAAGGGAAATCTTATTGGAGGGAGGGCGGAGGCCTTTGCTCAGGTGATCCTCACTAAGGCCCTGTGGTTCTCTCCACCGACACTATCACCTCCGCATTCCTGTTATATGGTTTACTTCAGCAGCAGCAGAAGGCAAGGCCTTAGGTGTCAGACGTTTACAACTGTAGGAAACCCACTTTCAGGGGCAAGGAATCCCCAAATATATAGTTTTTTCCTCTTACAAAATAATTATTTACTTATAACTTTCCCATTAGCTTTTTCTTAAAAAGAAAGGCCAGCTGAAACTGAAGAAACTGGTTTTTTGGCTACATTTTGAGCTGGCCTGGTACAAATGCAGCTCATTTCTGGCACTTTTTTTTCTGATAAGGGTTCTTTTCTATATATACCAGTATCTAAGACCCCCAATTTTGAATGGCTCGCGTTCTTACCCCCTCCATTCACAACCACTCTAATGCTGCCCAAGGACACCTCGCCCACCCACCCACTGGCATCCACAGCTCCATTGTATGACCTCTCCTTCTCCTTGCTTACTTCACTCTCCTGCCTCCTAGTCTTTTAACCCCCCCCAATTGTTTTAAAACCTTTATATTTTCCTTCTCAGTTTTCACTACTGTGACATGTGTGAAAGTGGTAACATTAAGAAAAACAGAAGGAAGGACCAACTCATATCCCAAGAAAACTGAATAGGAGCATCAATAAGGCATGGAGAGATGGGAGACTGAACAGGAGAAGCCGACTCATAAAGGAATGTCACCCGAGGACATGTGCACCCACAAAGTGCATGAAACAGCACACATCAGAGTGGTCCTGGGGTCCGGATGAGCAGATCCTGCTCTGGAGCAAATCTCAGCAGAGAAGAA